TTTAAACAGGTAACTAAAAAAAATTCAAAGCCAATTTACTTCTTGGGAGTTTCCTTTCCTGATAAATTATCCTAAATAAACTGACAACGAATGGTATCGCCAGTCAATATCCATGTATTTTTCAATCTATTGGAACAACATTATTTTAATACGTTTCAATTATGTATACAAATACATGTATGAACCAAACTCTTTCTTTTTCTTTCTTTCTTTCTTTCCTTTTTTTCTTCCTTTCCTTTCCTTTCCTTTCCTCTATCTATCTAATCTATCTATCTTATCTATCTTATCTATCTTATCTATCTATCTATCTATCTATCTATCTATCTATCTATCTATCTATCTATCTATCTACTTCTAAAGCCACCCACCTCAGTGAGTGACTAGTAAATTTATCAAATTCACCAGATTATATAACCAGAAACACTTGCTTGAGATAGGTGGCAACAGAAAATAAATAAATAAATAACTGAATTAATTTTGGAATTTGTTTCTCAATTAATTTTTTTCCTCATACGTTATTAAAAGTGACTCCTTTGTCAAGAGCTCCATTTGCTCTTGAATCAAATTTTTACCAAGGATTGCTACAAATCCCTTACCCACAGAGTTTGAGTTATAATAATCTGTGTCACTTTCAGCTGATGTACGTGTGTGCAAGCATTCTTTATACCTGGTGCAGTTTTAGTGACATCCGTATCCCAGGGACCACCACTTTCCTCAGTAATTCCATGTCTGCAAAAATCCATTCATCTCGCATTGATGATATACGAAAGTCTCCTTTAAACAAGGCATGGAGCCCATACAGGAAAGATTCCAGATTACTGTTTGGTTTGGGAGAGAAACCCCAAACATTAAAGCAAGCATTCAGCATTCTAAAATTAGTTGAAGAAAGTAAGACTTTCATTTCTATATAAACACTGTGGATTGCCAAGGCAAATTTAAATTGCCATCATAAACAAATATAAATCAGGAGCATTAAAAAAAAAAACCTGACAACCATTCTTCAATTCCTCATCTGTTCTGGCTATCTATTCAAGCAATGGCTGAAACACTAAAGGAAAACTAATCATCCTCAAATTACTTGGCAGAAAAGTGGCATAAACTCTTTGGATTAATGAGAACAGCAGTAGTTTTATCTGGAAACTTCCATTACCTTGTACTTTGCAGTTATTTACTGAATAAGCACCTGGCCTATTTGCTAACAAATTATTTCTGTGCCTCAGAGTCTTTCACTTTCCTCAAAATCAATTTTATACTTATTTTGTTCTTAAAGTTAAAGGAAAGATTTCTGATGTTCCCCATCATCATTCATTCACCATGTGTGTTAAATGTCTTTATTCATTTTACAACAGACTGACAATTCTAGTGGAGAATATATGTAGCCCAGAGTTGAATTATTGGGTTCTTGGCATTCTCCAAGTTCCCTTTTCTTCTTCTCGATGTTTATAAATTGAGCTTGTCTCAAATACCAACTCAGTGCTGGTCAATGACTATAATAGAAACAAAAGATCTAAAAATGCAAGTATATTCTTTACAGCAGTGTTTTTCAACCTTCACAGCTTGAAGATGTATGGACTTCAGCTTCCAGAATTCTGTTAGTTGAAGTCCACATATTTTCAAGCTGCCAGATTGAGAAACACTGCTTTAAAGTTCTATCACTCTGAGAAATTAGCCATTAACAGACATACTGAGATAAGGTCTAGCTATGAGCCATTCCAAAAGGGAAGCAACCAAAAATCAAAGAAAGGGGCAAACAGATCTAAGTACATCCGTCATCATTCTGCACTTATTAACCAATGCCAGAAGAGGAACCAGCACTAAATCAACAACCAAAGAAGAAACAAATACACTAATTAAACTTCACTTCACCATGCACTGATAAGGTTAGCTAGGCTGGCCATAAAATATTTGGATGGAGAAAAGCAAGTTTAGAGAATGCTAAGGGCCTAACAAACAGTCATACTGCATAAAGGAGTTGCAACTTTTTTTTTTTACTGAAAATATTTTCTTACAATCATCTAGATGAGGGACATAAGAGTTCTAAATACTAAATGTTTATGGAGGAAAACTGCAGCAGGATAAGCTTCCTCTGTCCTGTTAAGCATCCTGCCAGAATTTGTCACTAATATTTAGAGAGTGAAATCAGCTACTCAAATCTGGTAAGTCAAATTAAGAGTGGGAATAGAAAAAGGTACAGCCATATTCTAGGAGACCTATTCTGGAATAATAAAGAAGAGTACCTAGCCATATGATGTGAAGCAGTTCCGAGAGCCCTCCGACCAAGAACAGACAGCCCGTAGCAAAGGGTAACCAGAGAAGAATCCTTATCTGCATTGAGTGGCTTTGAGTAAAAACAAAAACAAACATTGAAAACATTAGGTAAAGCATATAAGATGTTTGTATGTTCTATCATATAACTCAAACTGTAATTTTTCATGATTGTTTTCTACTTTCTTAAGAAAAAGANGGGGTCGACCTCTGTCCCCCTGCCAATACAGACTGCGTACGGTCGGTGAGGAAGGAAGAGAACCACCGCATCACGGTGCCCCCCATTCCCAACCCACCCAACCGCCGCAGCATGATACCGTGGTCCACAGTATCAAAAGCCGCCGAGAGGTCCAAAAGAACTAGGACAGAGGAATAGCCCCTGTCCCGGGCCCTCCAGATGACTTATGTCTTTTATATGTGTGCTGATCTTCACGGGAAAAAGTACACTGTATCTTTCTTATTACCCTCTACAGAATCACCAAAGCCGCAAGGTGAATGGATGGTATGGGACCTGTGGATTCCAAACATGCTTAACAGACACTGTTGACGGGAAGACAGAAGTTAAAACAACAATGTTTCAAAGTCTAATTATCCCAATCTGGCAGTGAGGTATTTGAATATATACACTCTCAGACACTAGTTCAGTTTTACCTAGGGTGACTGGATGAGATGTGACAGGAGGATGCAATCCTACTCCAGATCCCTGTCCAACAGTTGCATTCCCACCACCTTGAGATACACTGCTCTGAGAATCATTGGCAGTTACACTATTACTTGTGCAAGAAGCACCACCTCCAGCATCCGAGTCTTCAATGTTTCCTCCACTGTTGCAACCAGCACCACAGCCTTTTCTTAACCTGAACATAATAATAATAAAAAACAATAGCAAGCAGACTAAGAAAGTAAACATCAAAATCTTCCAAAGATATCTTGACCTATACTTTTCATGTTTATTTATCATACATTTTCTTCCAGAAATTCATGATGGCATCTCATAACAATTTCTTGAGACAGGTAAAGCTGAACAAGCGGGCCCTGTCCAAAAGATATTTAACACAACACCAGTTTTCTCAGTTGTATTGAGTGTTGTTGTAGGTAGAAACAAAACAGATAAGATTGTATTGCCTAATTTACATTCAGAAACTTAAAAATCATCCTTAGAACTGTGAATTCCAGAGAAAATTGGGTTTATTAAGGGAGCATTCTGTGTTTGGAACAGAGTTTCACAAAGAGCAAACTTTATCCATAGTTAATGTTTGCAGGAGGTAAATAATACAACTGAGATTAAAGTGACTGTTGACAATGTACTGAAATTTCTAATAAAAGCAATATTCTTGGTTTTGACAGGAATCTTACTCTGGATTTGCATTGTAAAAGGAAAAGTGATAAAACAAAAAACTTTATAATGTACCATTCCAATTAAATATACTAAAATGAGCAACTGTACTCTGGAGACTTCTTTTACTCACCTGTGCCATGTAGATACTACGAAGTTCTTGATGTTTCCCAGACTGATGGCACCACCAAGAATCTCTCTTAGCTGTTCATGACTATCAGAATATGAAGTTGTCAGAGGTGAGACATAAATTGGGTATCCAATGGGCTGATCACAAGATGAGTTAATCATGTTCCTCAAAGCTTGTTTTGCATTTTGGATGCTCCCTCTTTCTGGGTTTCGATTGCGCAAGAAGACCAACTCCTGCTGCTGCCCAGCCCAAAGGCCACGGACACATTCCTTATTTACCTGCAAAAACACAGAAATGGGGAAGATAAGTAAGAAAAATAGTGTGGCAAAATGCAAATCAAGACAGCTATAACTACATGAATCTTATGACATGAAATATTCACTGATTTTACCAAATAAATCTACTAGTACAAAAGTAGTCTAAAATTACAACCATTTTTTAAAGGTCCCAAAAGTGCTTTTTTAAAAAAGGCATCTGGACTGTCTTGTTTTTTTTTTCCCTTTGAAAACATTTCATTTCTCATCTAAGAAGCTTCTTCAGTGGGGAACTGAAGAAGCATCTTGGATGCGAAGTGAAACATTTTCAAAGGAAAAAAATCTAAGAAAGTCCAATTGCCTTGGGACAACCATGACCTGGATGATTGAGAATCTTCATAGACGCTTTTTAAATGCATACTGAAAACAGGATATAGGCGCGTGCACGCACGCGCGCAGACACACACACACACTTCCATCCTAATCATAAATATCCTCAAGATTTAAACAATTTTAAAATTATACATTAAAGTTTTACCTTTTAGAAAAATAATTAAAATTCATTTAATTACTTCAGAAACATGCAGACTCTGTATTTAACTTTATGGAAAGCATTCATGCATTTATTATATAATTATTTATTCTACTTCTAAGCAAGTGTTGGCATAAACAAAATTTAAAATTTGCTTATATACAAGAAATAGATAAAAACTGTTATCAGTATGCTGCTGGAAGTAAGACATAGCAAGATAGTGAGAGGTGCCTGTGCTACACTTCTCCCAATTATGGAATTAAATGTAAAATATAACCGTTTTTTTAATTTGCTTAGTCTGCAAGTCCTGCAGATTTCTTTAATCAAAATATTTAAAAACCTAAAACAATTTAACATCAAAAAATTACTTAACAAAATCACAGCATTTAAAAAAGGAATCAAAAATCAAAACACCAATTTCATACCATAAAGTAATAAATGCCTATCCTCCCCACTTATCACATCTCATCCTAGAATAGGTGGTCTCATCCACCCCATTAAAAGTATCTTACTTTAATGACTCTAAAGATTAGATAACGCTTGTTCAGCATGATGATCTTGTATTCATTGGTGCCGTCATCCATCACGTGGCGAAGGGCAAGTAGGGAGGGAGAATTGGAAAGTACAGCACTTCGCCAAGCAGGGTCCCCTTCATGAGCTATAACCAGGTTTTGTTCGTGCGTTGTGATAGCTTCATAGAGAACAGCAGGATCATCGTATTCATCGGGAGAGGTGAAATGATCCTAAACAGAAGAGCAAAAGCACTCTGCAATACGAGCCTTCATTGTGAAAAGAGAAATGATTATATTCTAGTCCAGAGTTGTTCAACCTTGGCAACTTGAGGATGTGTGGACTTCAACTCCCAGAATAGCAAGTTTGGCTGGGGAATTCTGGGAGCTGAAGTCCACACATATTCAAGCTGCCAAGAGTGAGGAACATTGTTTTAGTCTACATTAAAATTATACAGTCAAAGTTTATATTTGGCCAAACTCAATTATTGAAGGTTACATCTAATTATCAACTTAAGAAAAAAAATCTAAACAATAAAGTACGGTCTGTTTCCCTAAAAACTAACAAATTTACTACTGTATAAGCAGTCATAGATCACAGTCTAGGTTTTAAGCTGAGATGTAAAACAACTCAGCCATAAATTTTTTCCAGGGGTGGATTTGTGAGATCTGGTACCATGGCAATAACAAATGCAATTAACAAACATAGTTTTTCTCTTGTCAAAAAGATGTAAAAATTGCACTTGTTTTTAAGAAATGCATATGAAAATGAATATACAGTATGCTTCTGAAAGTTTGGTATTTAAAAAAATGAGAAAATAACCAAACAATGGAGACCAGGGAAAATTTGATAAAACAATACCAGGGAATTTTGCAGTCAGAGACATTGAAAGGTATAGTCTGCTTCCCTTCAATTCCTAGATGCTCAATTCTTCCCATTTCCATTTTATTCCAACCATTCCCCCCAAATTTGCTCACTCCAAGTAACATGTTCTTTCTTACATGAGGTAACCTTGCAAGGAAAAATAGAAGCTGTTTTTAAAAAAACCAAACAGATCTGTTAAAATATCTATTCAAAACATCTATTCACTCTAGATTGAATTGCTCATCCGGCTATTATGGACAGTAAAGCAAATTCACATAACTTACATATCTTTAATTATGAAGCTATTTGTGAAAATAAATCCCGTTTAAACAGGTAACTAAAAAAAATTCAAAGCCAATTTACTTCTTGGGAGTTTCCTTTCCTGATAAATTATCCTAAATAAACTGACAACGAATGGTATCGCCAGTCAATATCCATGTATTTTTCAATCTATTGGAACAACATTATTTTAATACGTTTCAATTATGTATACAAATACATGTATGAACCAAACTCTTTCTTT